TCTAGGGGGGGGGGGGGTGATGAATATGCTGGCTAGCCATCCCCCCCCCCCACCTTGGGTGACCTCGAAAAAAATACATAGGCCTAGTCACTCGTCTTGTGTGTACTTCTCATGTACATGTTACATGTGTAGGCTACTCTCGTAAAACATACACTTTCTATTTTATGTTTAACTTCTTTTCAGATGTCATCCAAGAGCGTCTAGACGTCAACTAATTTTTAAAAATCTCAAATGGAAGGGGATCTCCCTAAACCCATGATCAGGGAGGGACAGGGGGACACATCCCAAAGTATTGTTAAGGGGGTGGTGGTAGGTCCCTTAATTTTCGTCCGCAATGTAATAATTTCAAGTCAAGAAAATGCCTGAAAATTGTTGAAATAAACTGCATAAATAACCCATGTTTTAACAAAGTGTGCTCTACAACCGATACTCTATCTCTGCCCACAAACATCTGAATTACTTATAATACACGACTCTTGTACGCGTAGCCTTTATTATAATTTGAGAAGTATGTGAAAAAGCGTGTAGGGCCTAATAATAATAGTTAAGATTGCATTTTGGCACATGGTAAAGTAAATTAAAAATACATCAATGACAATTGAGTTTTATTTTCAATGGAACATCACAGCGATTAATTTGATTACCGGTCATTTCCGGTAATCTAGAAGTACTACGGTATTTCCCCAACCCACCTCAGCCCTTGTGTGGACTAATGGCTTCGAAGTAGGTAGGCCTAAATTAAGTACAAAGACTAATGTTTTTAATAATTATTTTGTATAGTACATCACACATATTAATTAGATATCTATGGAAGCCGAAAATCACTGGTAAAACATCATGAGAAGTTTGTTGGCGCTTCATTTTTACTATATAATGGTGATATTGTGATGACGATGAATTTTACTATATTAAAGTGTCATTTCCGGTCATGAAAGCTACTATTTCCTAAAATTTTCACACCTCAGGCCCAGCCATGGTGGGCCTGAGGTGGGTGTGGGCTCACAAAATGCCCCCACCCCCTCAACTTTTAATTCGAAGCAGATATGCGCCCTTGTCAAAATCCTACCGGGTTAATCTCAAAATCGAGTTGCCGTCCCCGGCGTTGTCAGTGACGTCGTATGATTTGTGTGCGATTTTTACCAATTAACCCCTAAGTAAAACATAGTTGAACCATGTAGTACCTTGCAAATCAACCCAAAAACCCGGTAGTTTCTTGATTGTTTATTGGTAGCGTCCCTTCGCTGCCAAAAATAGTTTTTTGGCAGTTGCGTCCCCAATGACATCGTGAGGGCTGGTTACGATTTGGTGGCACATCCATTGAGTATTTTCATTCATCTGGCCATGTAAGTCAGTGGCGTGTCTAGATGTCTTGAAATGGGGTGGGGGCTGAATGATGTGGACGCGAAGGTGAATTGGTGGGGGGGGGGGAGTCGATGATCAGTTGAGGGACGGTAATTCGCAAAATAAGGTGATTTTAGATGATTTTTAACTACTTTACCGTGATTTGACACCAGTGTCAGTATAATCTTAGGTAAGCATGTGGTTAACATAAGCAAGAATTTATTCCAATGAAACTGTTTATAATCTCGATACCTTCCGACGAAAATTGACCATACCGGCGCTACCACGGCGTCCCCACCGATCGATCTAACGTGACGTTGTTATGTGGGTGTTTTATAGATTATTGAGAATGGTAATATCACCGAAAAAATAAATAAAATGACAGTTGAATGACCAAAGACAACTGAAGACAATAGCTAGTTCGTCATTAGAAGTTATTTAGTATAACTTTATTCGGAAAATAAATCTCAAAATCGAGTTGCCGTCCCCGGCGTTGTCAGTGACGTCGTATGATTTGTGTGCGATTTTTTTTATTGGTAGCGTCCCTTCGCTGCCAAAAATAGTTTTTTGGCAGTTGCGTCCCCGGTGACATCGTGAGGGAATGGTGAAGGCTGGTTACGATTTGGTGGCACATCCATTGAGTATTTTCATTCATCTGACCATGTAAGTCAGTGGCGTGTCTAGATGTCTTGAAATGGGGTGGGGGCTGAATGATGTGGACAAGGTGAAGGGGGGGAGGGGCTAAATGATGATCAGTGTGAGGGGCGCTAATTCGCAAAATAAGGTGATTT